TTCTTCTTCTTCTTGGCCAGCGCTTTGTTCTTCGGTTGCACCGGGTGGCACCGCTTCGTCGGCGTTTTTGCTTCCTCGTCGCCTTTCTTCTTCTTCGTCTTCTTCTTCTTCTTCTTCTTCTTCTTCTTCTTCTTCTTATTTTTCTTCTTCTTCTTCTTCTTCTTCTTCTTCTCCTTCTTCTCCTTCTTCTTCTTCTTTTTCTTTTTCTTCTTCGCCGCATTTTTCTTCGTCTACGCGTCCAGCAACGCTTCGTCACCCCGACCCTTTTTCTTCCTCGCCACCTCGTCTTCTTCTTCTTCTTCTTCTTCTTCTTCTTCTTCTTCTTCTTCAATCGTCTTCTTCTTCTTCTTCACACATACACACACACACACACACACACACACACACACACACACACACACACACACACACACACACACACATGCACACACACACACACACACGCACACACAGATGGCGGACGAAAGCAGCACGGCGTCTCCGACAGTGGCAGCTGGCGAAGGGGGGTCATCTCGCACTCCGCAGACCACCACTTCTCCTCACTCCCAAACACCTTCGTCATCGTCTTCGTCACCGGCGATTGGCGAGGGGGGCGCAAGTGCCGAGGAGGGGCAGTCCACAGCGGATACGGTAACACAAGGAGAAGGCGGATGGGGCCACCTTCCGCGAGATACGTCCCAGCGAAATGGGGGTTGGGGGTACGATCCTTCGCTCGGTCCGTACGGGTCGACGGCCATAGCCGAGACGTACGGAAATCCAAACCTCCGGCCATACCCTCCCCCCCCCAACGGATACCTTATCTCGCCGCCGACGAGCGATGATGAAGGGGGGGGCGGTGGCAATGGCGCAGGGGAGGTTGGCGGCCATAGTGGAGACGAAGGAGGAGTGGGTGCAGACGGTGGGGAAGGTTTTTTTTAGTCGCCTTCGGTTTAGTCCGTTTAGGGTTATATTCCTTACATTTTTTTCTTCATGTTTTATCTTTCCTCCGTTTCTTTCATCAGTACGCTATGCCTTCATAACATGGATGGTGGGCGAATAAGGTGTCCGTAGTAGTAGTAGTGGGCAAGAGGTCATCAACGAACCGCAACCATTGCTACCACGTGACTTTGACATTCGGGGCATGTTCTTTTCATTGTTGTCAGTCTGTGTACTTTGTTTGTGCTCCATAGCATCGCGGAATATGAGTTCGTAATGAAAATGGATATGTCGGCGGATTCTTTTTGTGTGTTTCTGTGTTTCCTAGTTTGGTTTTAATTTATTGTTATTTCTTTTTTTGTTTTTTGTGGTGAATTTTTTTTCGTTATTTTATGGTTTCGTTTCGGTGCTTGCACTTCACCCCGTGCGAAAGAGGGGATGGCGGACCGTAGCAATTTTTTTGTGTGTGTGTGTGTGTGTCAGTTTCCGTGAATGATGACTGTATGTGGGTCAGTCTGTGTGTGACTCTGTGTTTGTGTGTATGGTGTGTCTCTCTCTCTCTCTCTCTCTCTCTCTCTCTCTCTCTCTGTATATCTATCTATCTATTATCTTGATTGAATATAAAACAAAACAAAACAAAAATTAATAATCAATCGATCAATCAATCAATCAATAAATCAATCCAATTGATTGATTGATTTATTGATTCATTGATTCATTGATTCATTGGTTTATGACTGTGTAAGGAACACGAATATGGACGACGCACAGAAAACCAAATCGCAAAATCACACAGAAGTCCAAGTGGTCGAAGCAAGAGCGGATACCACAATGGAACCGAGTGACCATCCATTTGAGATCAGTACAGCAGAATCTCTCTCTCTATATATATATGTGTGTGTTACGCCAAAAAAAAAAAAAAAACTACAAATTTTAAATCAATCAATCAATCTACCAATCAATCAATCAATCGACCAATCAACCAATCAATCAATGAAATGAATAAATTGATTGATTG